AAAAAAAAGTAATATGAACTGTAGAATTAATAAAACCCAAAATGCGTAATTGTAAAAAAGAGAGGAAAAGAAAGTGCTCTAAATGATATAACTGCATGTATGTTTAAGTGTGTAAGATAGATAACCATATTACTAATTTTTGTTGAATCATTGAATAGAACTGTTTGCAGTCTGTTTTAATATCCACTTTTATACTTTAGTTTTGTAACTTGAACGACTTTTTCTAAGATGACAATATGTAATCTATCAACTAGTAATTTCTTAATGTTTATTTTTTGAAATTCTGTATTACTTCTACCCTTTTTTATGTTTTGCTTTTTTCTCTTTAAATAAAATTTTTAAAAATTTGCTCAAAAAAGAACTGTAAAACACTTATAAATGTATTAAGAAATTACAAACAATTATTATTTTGTTTTAGTGTACTGGAAAAATACTTATTGTGAAATACTTTTAAGTCATGTGTTTGGAAGGTAATTAGATCATGTGAATGTCATTCTTATTAGTGGATTCATACATTTGTGAGCTCAGAAGTTGAATGTTTTGTTAGGAAGTACAGCCTGGTTGGAAGTGTGTCAGTGTGCAGAGAGATAAATACCTGGGCTTAGTTCTTCAAACTTCTGTGCTTCTTTACAGCCAAGAGTTAAATGACAACTTTCCTCTTTTTCTGTTCTGGAGTCAGATAGCTAGGTACTGAATGCACTGGAAATCATTAACCAAATATAACTCCCCTTTTTAAACTATAGGAGCCAAGTATATTGTCTCAACAAAAAGGGGGCATCTAAAACAAATAAAAATAAAAGAGAAATTAATGAAAAAATGAATGTTGAGTAATGACTATAATTAAATACATTAAGAATAGACAATACACCTAGCTAATAGAATTTAAAATTTGTAGTTGTATTTATACAACACAGGAAATATTTTTAATTCTACTTAGCAAAAATAAGTGCCCACAACTTGAACACTGAAGCAAATGGGTTGATATACTGTATGAGGATATATAAAAACCACAAAAAAAGAGTCATTGACTCATTTTGTTGAAAAAATCAGTATGTCAGAAAAATAAATAAACATAGCAGGATATATTATAGTAACCCACTTTGACTTTCCATTATCTCGATTTAAAGCCCTGTATTACTCTCACCATCTTGCTTTTGACTATTCTGTTTTGCTGGATAGTACCAGGTTCAAAAGTTTAGGCAACAGCTGTGAAGATAGTGAGATTCATTATGACGCCCATTCTCTTTGACTTTTATCTACTTTTGAAGACCTACAATGTCTCCAAAGTTTTGGTTTTGTCGGTTTTGTTCTTTACTGTTTTGTTCAATTTTATTATAACTAATGATATGGGCAATTCTATTAGAGATAGCAGTAGGCATTATGGTAACCATTGTTGATCATCTTGTATTATGTTTTTACATTATCTATTATGTCCACCCTTTTGATTTGACCGATTCTGTTCTGTTATGTCACATTTGGTTTTACTCTCTTCCAAAAAAAGTAATAAGAACCGTGGGAGCAATAAAACCCAAAATGGGTAATAGTCATTGTACAAAAGAGAGGAAAAGAAAGTGCTCTAAACGATACAACTGCATGTATATTTAACTGTATAAGATAGAAAATGATATCACTGAGTTTTATTGGATCATTGAACAGAACTGTTTGCAGTATCATTGTTGGAATGTCCACCTTTACAAGCTTTAATTTTGTGACTTGAACAATTATTTCTAGGATGACAATATGTAATCCATTAACTAGTGATTTCCTACTGTTTATTTTTTTCTGTAACTCTGTATAACTTGTACCCTTTCTCTGTTTTTTTTCTCCTTAAATAAAATTTAAAAAAAAAGAAAAAAGAAAAATGTGAAGGACCTCAGTCAAAAGAAATGATCATTATAGAATTCTAGGGAAGAATACTATGTAGCTAAAATTCAAATAAGTCCATGTTTTGATAGATTCAGACAAAAGCATGGTTGTTTTAAAAAGTACATATCAGTTATGAATGTTTTTAAGTGTTCCCTACATTCAGTATAATATCTATCAAATGTTTAGAGTTATTTTAACAGACCATGAAAAAATTAAAATTTGTATAGAACAACAAACTTACTACAGATTGGTTCAACAAAAGGAAAAAGCTAGACACATCACATTCTCTGGCTTCAAAACATATTTTATAGAGATTTCCATGAAAACTGAATGATACCAGTTTTAAAAAATAGATAAATTGACCTATGCGACAGGAGAGAAATCCAGAATCTATGTCTGGACCCTCATCTTTCCACTGTGATTCTGCTCACCTGCTTTGTTTCCTGCTGCCATGAACTCAGCATCTTTGCTCCGCTTTGGCCTACTGAGACTTCTGCCTCTATCCCAGGTGACCACCAACTGAACCCCTGAAATAGTGAGCCAAAGTCTTCTCTCTTTAATTTTGAGATGCATAGTGTTTTGTTCCGTATCACCAAAACTGACTAATACAACCCTCAACACTCTCAGCATTAAATTTGTTATATCTCTAACACTTCCTAACTCCATTTTGCTCCTTATTTACATTTTCATTTCTCTTAATTCCTTGAGAATCTTCTATCTTTCACCTTTGAAAGTTTAATTACAACATGACTCTGATAGACATAGTCTGACTGGTGACATTTGACCTTACTCTACTTTAAGTTTTGTGAACTTCTCTAGTAATGAAAAGTTATCTGTCATTTTATACACTTTCACTTAATACACTTTCAATTAATACACTTTCACTCTTGTCAGAATTCTCAAGACACTGAATGTTTATAGTTAGTTACTCTTATGATAAAATATTGTGCCTAAATTCCACAAGAATTTTAATCCTATTTCATTCTCTTTTTTCTTCCACAATTGTTTTTCCAAAGAATCTGTAGTCTTATTCATTAATTCTTTCCTGTGCAACTTACTGTTACTGATGACTTCAGTTGTGTTTTGGTAGTTCTCAGTGTGCTTCAGCTCAAAGATTTCTATTTAATTTTTAAAAGTTAATTTCTTTCCTATATTAAATTCCTCAGTTCAAACTTTGAAGTATTTCTTTGTGTTTTCTCAAAGTTCTGAATTTTCTCACAGCATTTTTAAATTCTGAGTCTAAGAATTAACCCATACTGATTACAACCTATCAGTGCATGGCAGCCTATATTGAGTGAAAGTCCTGGATGGTTATCGGAAATTTAATAATCTTCCAGGATTTGAAATATTATGAATTAATTTCATTCTTTATTAAATATTCATCTGACTTTGGTTGGGCCCATATTTCTAGAAATTCTAAGCAGGCTACACATTCTGTCTGTACCCACTAGTACTCTCTGACTATTGAGCACTGACTGGGTGCTTTCCATGTTGAGAATTTCTGAAAGTCTCTTGTAAGTGTGCTATCACATCTCATATTAGAGAGAAACCAAAACCCATGTTTATCTATGCACATTGTTGTTATACTGCTGAAAATGAACTGGGGATATATGTAGAGAGAGTAGTTCATGCTCTCTCCTGCATCTTCTTGGGTCTAAAGTAGAACCAGATACCTTGTGCATACATAGTAGCCCAGAGTTAAGCATTGAAAGGTTGTCTTGTCCCTTGGAATTGAAATATATATCCAAATTAGTATCCATTTATTCATTTATTGATTTATTTCACATCATTTACACATTCAGTGTTGTGAGAGACATATTTATAATGAGGAAAAGTGTTAATACCTTCACCTTTAGCCTAACCTTTATAAAAATTAATGTAGAAACTCACTGGTATTTTAAGACTTCTGCAAATATTAGGAGCTGTAAACATTTTTGCATTTTTTGGTTCATTCTTTTATTTCTTTTAAACAATGCAAAGAGGGGAGCTAATTTTTCCTATTTTGTTTGCAAAGGGTATAATACAAGACATGTCTGACTACATACAATCAAATTTCATAGATATTAAAAAAGATCAAACCAAAATTAGGGGGAAATAGGAAAATAGAGGTTTTGTGAAGTTAAGGGGATCAAGTGATAGAGAAAGTGGATTCAGGGGAAGAGAAGAAAGAGTAAAAAGAATTAAGATGTGCTCCTACATGTACTGACACCTCACATGGAATGTAATTATTGTACAGAATCAATTTGTACTAATAAAACTTTAAAAAGTGACTTTTGTTCTTTAAAATTTGACACAAAATTAAAAGCTCTGTTTTATATTTCATACTGTTATACACTTGTAAGTCACTACGTCTCTCAGTGAGCTTCAGTTTTCATATCAACTCCAATGAGTTAAACAATACAGATGAAGACATATGTTACATGGTTACATTTACTTTATAATATCTGCAAATCTTTTTTTTTCAAAATGAAGCCTCAAATTTCTGTAAGATTAGAATTATTTCTAAAAAAAAATTAATTAAACAAAACAGATCCTCTCCAAACAAAGGAAAGTTCTAGAATCTCAAAAACAATCACAATTCTTCAAGGTAGAGAAGATGTTGAATGTAATGTTTAGAAGGTGATTCTGAAGCAGTGTCACGGTTCATCACATCTGTTTATAGTCAAACAGATTTTGATATGAAAATAAAAAACGTTTCCATCCTCAAGAAAGCTGAATTGAACCAATGTAGAAAAAATACAATTAGATAACCAAAAAGCATAAGATTTTATGCTAACTGTTACAGAATGTCAAGGAACAAATAAATATGAAAGTACAGCAAATTAGTTTTGCAAAACCTCATAGATCAGTAACATTGACTGAAGCTTGACAGTAGAAGCAGGAGAAAATAAATGGAAATTATTTCCAACACGTCCCATTACAATGCACTCATGCTTACCCAAATATTATGAAGCAATTGTAAAGTCAGGCTGTCCTGTCCCACTGGAAACAAGATTTCAAAATGCTTTTTTAATTCTATTTTATTGTTACGGAATATTTTGTGACAACTTTTATTCTAACATATCTAGTGCAGATATTTATTCACAATTTAACATCACTTGTTGTAAGAAATATATTATTTTTTGAGGACAAAGCTATGTCACTAGAGACCTAATTTGAGGATGAAGTAGTAGGTGAAATATCCCTTGGCGGATCTGCTTAGTTTTCACACTATAGATGATTGGGTTGAGAACTGGTGGAACCATTAAGTAGATATGAGCCATGAAAATGTGAATGAGTGGAGAGGAATGCTTGGCAAAACGATGGACAATAGATAACCCTATCATAGGCACATACAGAATGAGCACAGCACAGATGTGGGAGGCACACGTGTTGAGTGCCTTCAGTCTCCCCTCACGGGATGTAATTTTTAATACAGAATGAAGAATGAAAGCATACGATATTAAAATGCCCAGAGCATCCAGGCCCCATAGTAGAATAATCACAACCAAACCATATATAACATTAAATTTAGTGTCAGCACAGGCAAGGCGAATCATGTCCTGGTGCAGACAATAGGAATGAGAAAGGACATGGGAGTGACAGAAGCGAAAGAACGCCAGACGAGCAAGAGGTGGAATCATTAGAATAGCACTTCTGAGCAGGGCTGCAATCCCAACCTTGATGATCAGCTTTGGGGTGAGAATGGTAGCATATCGCAGTGGCTGACAGATAGCTACATATCGGTCCAGGGCCATGGCCAAGAGCACAGATGACTCAGTGAAGGAGAAAGTGTGAATCACAAACATCTGGACCACACAGATATTGAACTGAATCTCCCTAGAAATGGACCACAGCACCCTGAAAAGTGTTATCACTGGGGCCAGGGACATACCCAGGTCAGTGAGAGAAAGCATGGCCAGGAAGTAGTACATGGGCTCATGCAGCCTGGGGTCTGTCCGGATAACATGCAGGATGATGCAGTTGCCTGTTATTCCAACAAGGTATAGGAGACAGAAGGGGATGGAAATCCAGTGGTTAAATTCTTCATAGCCAGGAATACCTGTGAAATAGAATGTGGAGGACAGGGTGCTGCTGGAGTTCAAGATTGCCATGGAGATGAATGTTCAACCACAGCCCAATTCCACAGTCACACTCCACTGGTCAAGACATTTGATAAATCCATGATCTGCATCAGGAAATCAGAAACTGATAGATATTAGGAAATAGGGAGAATTATTCAAAAGAGAAGGTGAATGTGAGTTAGGACAGTAAGAAAGAAAGGAAAGTGATTTAAAAATTAATAGTTGAAGAAAAATATATAAATAGAGATTTTGCTGATGAAGAAAAGCATAAAAGTTGGTGACAGGGAAAGTAAAGAATTAGAATGTGTTGTACACACATTATATATTAAAAAGGTACTAGTAAAAAAATCAATCAAAAAAACATCAGTGTTTACTTCTAGGTTCTTAATACACAGTAAGCATTCTGAATTGTTCTTTATTCATTTTATTGCTAGTTATTGTCAGTTACTTATCCCTATTAACCAGGGTCTACACTCCTGCCTCCTTTATGCAAAGCCATTAATCATCCTGTCTAAACATTGGTGACCTTTCAAAGACTGTCCAGATGACATCACACACACACACAAAAACACACACACACACACATACACAAATTCTAGATTAAATATTAATTTGTAATTTTAGTAGAAATTTTCTTGCTGTGGTATTGAACTAATATTAGCCCCTTTTAATTACTCAAGTGATTTAATTTCTTTAACTGTCTCACATTGCTATTTTCTTTAAAGAAACAGAACACTGTGCAAGGAACGTTAACATAATTCAAGAAAGAATTGGACATCACCCTTGTGCTTACTCATCTGTATCCTATTGTATAATTTATGTTATAGGCCTGTTTTTTTTTCTAACAATCAACTGATATCAATTTTTTTTCACCTTGTTATAACAAGAGCTAATTTCATGTTAATATAGACATTACTGATGTAATATATAAATTTTTAAACACAACCTTATAAAATAAAATAAAATATATAATTTAGAGAACCTTAAAGCAATTCTGGCTGTGATCGTCAAAATGAAGAAATGTATTAATATTATATTTCAAACATGATTTGCTTAGAGACCTGTTCTGTCCACCAAAGGAAAAGGGGAAATAAGTCCTAAAAAGCAGGACTTATGGAAAAACTGACACTGACACTACACAATTTTTATACAGAGCAAATGAGAAAAATAATGTCTTTATTTTTCTATGGTCAAGACGAACACCTCTGAAGAAAAAAGTTTAATTGTCCCTTTAAATCCAGTTTGTGCAACGTGTGACAAGTGTCCATGCTTACCTGAATGTTTACAAGATAATTTAATATCCATGAGACAAATTACTCAGGTGACAAGCAAACACACTGGCACTTTTCTGTGTTACAAAATCTCCTTCGACCTTCTGAAACTCTCAAATAGCTATTTCCAGAAGTTTCATCATCGTAAGTCCCATTTAATCAGGGTGCATATTAAACTTTCTGGCAAATAAAAGAGTATGAACAACAAATAAAAACAGTAAAACTCACTCTTTTTTACTGTTTATTTTATCATTAAATTCTGTTTACATAATTTATGATGATGCATGAAACCGTACAGTTTTCTTCTCTCTGCTACAATTGTATCAAATGCTGATGTTGGGATTTCATACACAATTGTTCCTTCAGTGTTTTCACTTATGACGACATTCAGCATTTAGACTTTCAGTCCTTTCCTATACTTTTGATCCTTCCTTTCAAGTTTCTCAACCATTGTCAGAACTAGGAAATTTGCATTTCTCCCTCCTGTTTATTCAGTTTATTGACAATTTTCAAAGAAATACATCCACAATAGAAACTGCAGTTTACCCTAGACTAGGATGAGATCCTTCACATGTCAGTGACCTATCAATCTGATAAGATGCATTACATATTTTGAAGTTTCATCATATGTAGGTACTAAAGAACATATATTCTGTAATAACTTATCTTCCTCTTATTCTATAAATCTTTATAGTATAAAAATGCTTAAACTTGATTGTCCTTTTCTTATTCCTTCTGTTAATATCACTTCAAGTTTACACAACTGTCCATGTGATCTGTTCAAGGATGCCCTAGAATAGGAAGGGGGAGCTAATGCATTCTGCTTATAAACAAGAAACACTGCTGGATGCACAAAAGCAGGCTGTGACCTCTGGAGAGTGTTTAAATACATATTAAAAAGTACTGACACTTGGGATTGAAAGAGACTTTATTACCCAGTAAAATTACAATCTCATTTTGAAATTACTGTTTTTTTATATCTAAAAATAGTCTTCAAATTTTTCTAAATAACAAGCCTTGTATTGAAATCCTGAGTTCAGTTTGTTTGACAAGACTAACTCAGATTTGGCATTTAGAAACATAAACATGAGCAATAAACATATTTTGGTAAAAATCACATCCTGAATTTAGGTGAGAACTGCTCCTTTCCTGAACTAATCTTTGTACTCTTCTCTCACACTCTTAGTACCTGCCCTCCTCTCTTTTGCTTTTCAAAATCCCCTTACGTTTTCCTATTTTCTTCCACACTCCCTCCAAGCCTTACATACCTGATAGAATGGTTCCTCTTGTCATTAGTGAATGTTCTGTCCTCAGTACAGCAGGATGAGTTAATATGGTTTCTTCCAGTCCCTAGAGATATAAGGCCCAATATAAATGCAAAACAGTGTCTGTAATCCTCTCCCTGCCTACATATCAGACATGGCCTTTCTCAAGGTCTCCCCCACTTGTCAAGATTGCAATGCTACCTTGTACTTTATAAAAGAAAGAAGGTATTTGGGATTTTCAAATGTTTATTGCTTCAATATCTGGAAGAGACGACATAATGTAACATGAAATAAAATACTGATTTACATCCAGAATATAAGAGTACAGCATAGAATTTTTAAGGTGATATAACCAATGAGAGGGACTTCTTAAGGATTTTAATAAGAGCAGAGATCACAGAAACCATAAGTGAAGAGCTGTTTTATACAAAATTTGATAAGAATATCAGAAAGTTACTTGTCTCACCTTCTTCTAAATCATACAATATACAACCAAGATAAGATTTTCAATCAAATATTCAGATTTATCCTGTCATATAGTTCCACAAAATAAAGTAAATTAATTACATATGATCTGAATAAACTTGGAAGATTAGATCAATCAATAATGCCCATACAAATTTTTCAGTAATAAATGCCTGTTAGCTTACTACATCATGCAACAGATTGGCATTTACTGGTTCACCAGTAACACATAAAAGGCATTTAAGCAGGATGGAAAGTTTAAATTACAGTAGCGTTCCATTTAGCATAGGAATTAGTTTTATAAAATGTAAAGTGTCTGGCTCTAATGATCTTCAATGTTACTTTATTTAAAATATTCAGCTATAAATAACTTTATAGGGAATTTATGACTTCCAGAGAAGTAACTGTTCTCCTAGAAAATGTGTTGTTTACAATTATAGGTCTATGAAAAGGAACATGGATACTCTATCATGAGAAAAATTTTCACATCTCAATCTCCATAACTGCTATTCTGAAACTACGAGAAAAATGACTCTGAATGGACTCAGATTTTCTTCAAACTTTAATTATTATAACAGAAACTTAAATGACATTGACATCATCTAAATTTGATGTGATAAAGGACCCCAAATTCAGAGGACTGTCGCTAATGGTCCGTGCTAATGTGTACTTTTACACATAGGATGTGTATATTTGTCAGCTATACAATGGAAGGTGATATAAAGCAACTGCACTCCCCTCAACTGCCAAACTGTCTTCCACCTGTACATTATAAGCTCAATTGTAAATGTCCCACTGGATGAAGAAAAGGTGATGGTCAAATGACTACATTTAGAGCTATATGAAGAATATGACCTAGACCATCACCCATGACACTGGGTACAACTTGAAAACTAGGGGAAATCTATATCCCTGATTTATTTCCCATATACCCCACTTCATGCCTGGCTGTATTGAATTGTGTCAACATCCATTCTTGCTTTATGGGTTAACTGGTTAATACTGGATACTGAAAGAAAATAAGAATCCAGAGGGTGCCCTGTTTGGAGTGCTTATTCTTTGACTCTCATCCAGCACTATTGGTCCTCATGCTGGCTTCACTTCTGCAGAGACAGGGAATGTCCTCAAGTGCCCTACTCCACAGGCTACTATTTTTGATAAAGGTTTCCATTCCTACTTTAAAATCAGAAATTACAGATATGGTTCCACCTGAACATTCACATAGGTGCTTTCTAGATTTTTCCTAAATCTTACTCACTGATTTCAATGATTTCATCAATTACATCAAATGATCCACATATGAGGATATCATGGTGATTTGTGTTGGTTTTTTTCTCTCCATTTCAATTATGCCTGCATTTAACTTTATTATTTATTTCCTTCTGTTAATTTGGGGTTTTCTTTGTTCTTATTTTTCTAGTTCTTTGTGATGCATCTATAGCTTATTTAATTTTTCTTCTGTTTGGTGTTGTTTTATGGAGGTAATGATTGTCATAATTCTGTTCACACTGCTTGTGCGGTGTCACTGTAAATTTTGGCATGTTGTGATTTCATTATCATGTATATCAAGAATTTTTATAATTTTCTTCTTAACTTTTCCTCTTTAATTAACTCTTTGATGAGTAGTTTACTATTTATGCCCTTGTATAATTCCTATTTTTTGTTATTGATCCTTTATTCTATCGCATGACAGTTAGAAAAGTTGAGTGCTATGATTTCAGTATTTTCACAAAGGCTGTGATTTGTCTTGTGACTTCTGGCCTTTTGTGGAATTTTAATTGTGCTGGTGGTATGCCATAACCACCAGATGCAAAGATTGATGGATGTCTTTCAAGATTAATTACTCAAAGTGAAGTTCAATTTTGCTGTATAATTTTTGTTTTGTGTCTTGATGATGTTTATTGAAGAACAGTGTAAAATTCTGTAACTTGTTTTTGGAGTTCATGAGTCTTTAATTCAATTACATTTCCTTTAAAAGTTTATGTGATCAAATATTGTTGCGCATAGTAATTTATTTATACAAAATGCC